GCTAGACTAGAAGCTGGGGCAGGACAAGGACGGATGGAGGATGCAGCCCAGCCTCTTGTCAAACCCCCACCAGCTCCTGGGCTTGGCACCTTTGTCCTTATACATATACTTGCTGGTCAGCAGGTACAGGGTCAGGAGTAGGTAGAGACCAGGCCAAGAATGCCCTCCCACTCCATGGCAGCACCTACCGGCTAAAGGGTTGTAGGCGTAGAACCTCAGTCCAAAGTGTCTGAGGCAGGGGAAGAGCTCCGTTTCTACCTGCCGGGTGGTGGCGTTGTACATGCCCTGCAGGGAGAGGGGCCATCTGGAGGGTGTGGATGGTCAGGGGAAGAGGCCTCAGCCTTCCTCTTTAAAATCAGCAATAGTCCTAAAGTCATTAGTGTTGGTAGTGGATGGGGAGTGGGGTTAGGCCCAAGACAGGAAACTGAACTGGATTTATCTAAGTATCTCTGTGCATGAACTCCAGGCTGGGCGCTGGATTCAGCAAATCTCACAGGGTCTCTGCCTTCAAGAGATGTCATATTCAAGTTAAGGAACTAGACAGGAAAACAGATAAACACAATAAAGTTAGGTTCTATGGTCATAGTAGGAACTCAAGAGTACTCGGTAAATATGTGTAGATGAGGTTTGGAGACTCCTTTGAGGCTTTCCAGAAAGGCTTCCAGAGAAAGAGCCACCAAAGTGAAGCCTGGGTAAGTCTCCCAGGGTGATGGTGTATTTCAGGCTGAAGTGCACAGGGAGCCAGGGAAGGAAGGAACTGAGGTGGGCCAGCCTAAGCAGCTCGGATGTCATCCTGCAGGCTTCGAGCAGGGAGTGGCTAATAGGTAGAGCATCCAGGGGACAGTCAGAGGGACAAAGAGAACCTGAGATCAGCAAGAGCCCTGGAGACCCAGGCCCCTGTAGCTGTGGCCCTCACCTGGTACACAGCTGGCAGGATCCAGCCGTTGTTCTTGCAGAGGGTGTAGATCTCGGCCACCTGCCAGGCAGCATAATTGGAGAGGCCAAGCTCCACAAACTTGCCCTGCAGGGGTGAGGCTGTGGTCAGTACCCTCTGTACCCCAAGAGACCAGGAAGGGGATGCCAGGGTGGGGATCCCAGGAATGAGGCCATATCCTATATAGGGATAAGGAGAAGAGCACCAGGCCAACTCCAGGAGCTTGCTGCAGGCCTGCCCTCACCTCTTTTTTTTTAGAGACAGAGTTTTACTTTATTGCCCTCAGTAGAGTGCCATAGCATCACAGCTCACAGCAACAAACTCCAACTCCTGGGCTTAGATGATTCTCTTGTCTCAGCCTCCTGAGCAGCTGAGAGTATAGGCACCCACTACAATGCCTGGCTATTTTGTTGTTGTTGTTGCAGTTTGGCTGGGGTGGGGTTCGAACCCTCTAACCTCGGTATATGGGTCCAGCGCCCTACCCACTGAGCCTCAGGTGACGCCATGCCCTCACCATACCCTCACCTCTTGATGGAGCTGGTGGCAGGCACGCAGTGTCTCTTCTATTGGGGTGCCATGGTCAGGGGCATGCAGGTAGAAGAGGTCCACTCGGGGGCACTGCAGCCTCTTCAGTGATGTCTCCAGCTGGGACCGGAGACTATCAGGCTTCAATGAATTTCCATCCCAAGGGTTGGCCTTAGTAGCAATTTTCACTTGGAGGAAGAATATAATGGTTACAGACTTATAAGAGCTGGCCAGGTGCAGTAGCTCATGCTTGTAATCCTATCACTCTGGGAGGCTGCGGTGGGCAGATTACTTGAGCTCAGAAGTCTGAGACCAGCTTAAGCAAGAGGGAGATCCTGTCTCTAAAAATAAGGTTGTAGGCCGGGTGCAGTGGCTCACACCTGTAATCCCAGCACCCATGAACTCATCTGAGCTCATGAGTTCGAAATCAGCCCGAGCTAGAGAGAGACCTTGCCTCTAAAAATAGCTAGATATGACTTGGCACCTGTGGCTCAAGTGGCTAAGGCGCCAGCCACATACACCTAAGGTGGCGGGTTCGAATCCAGCCCAGGCCCGCCAAACAACAATGATGGCTGCAACCAAAAAATAGCTGGGCTCTGTGGCGGGTGCCTGTGGTCCCAGCTACTTGGGAGGTTGAGGCAGGAGACTCGCTTGGGCCCAGGAGTTGGGAGGTTGCTGTGAGCTGTGATGCCACAGCACTCTACCCAGGGGGGACAGCTTGAGGCATTGTCTCAAAAAAAAATATATATATAGTGAGATGTTGCGGGCACCCGTAGTCCCAGCTACTTGGGAGGCTGAGGCAAGAGAATCACTTGAGCCCAGGAGTCTGAGATTGCTGTGAGCTATCATGCCACAGCACTCTACTGAGGGCAACAAAGTGAAACTCTGTCTTAAAATAAATAAATAAATAAATACATATATATATATATAAAACATTGTAGTGTGGCCTGTAGTTCCAGGTACGGGAGGCTGAGACAAGAGAATCGCTTGAGCCCAGCCCAAGAGTTTGAGGTTGCTGTTAGCTGTGATGTCAGAGGACTCTAGAAAGGGTGACAAAGTGAGACTCTGTCTCAAAAAAAAAAAAGAAAAGAAAAGAAAAGGGGGCAACACAGAGTTGATCTCTACAGTTGTCAAACACCACCCCACTGAATAACCAATTCATAGGTTTTGTTAGGATGGGAATGGATCATCTGGGTTCACTCTGGCTGCAATACAGAGAAAGAACGCGAGGGGGAGGCCAGGAAGACAAGAAGTTGTCAGGGTTTTTAGAAAAGAGATGCAGCCACCTGCACTCGGGCTACTGGCAATGATCAATCGGTTTGAGTAACTGTTAGAAGGCAGCCCAGGCAGAAGGTAATTAGAGTTCCCTCTTCTCTCCCAGACTCACAGAAGCATGCACAGATATACACACAGTGTAGAGACCATATCCCCACCAGAGCAACTTGTAAATGAGTTAATTTAGCACTGTTCCTTGCCCTATAAAGAACCCCAGCTGTCTGGATTGGCGGGTGGCTGGATTCTGCACTTTTCCTACTTCACAAGTCAATGCACCAGGTCAGAGGGGTGTGATGAGATCACAGGGATATGGTAATGAACAAGTTCCCAAGTTTCTCATCCCCATTTTCCCCCCTCCCCCTCCCTGCATTCTTGGTGTGATCTGAGGACTCTGGCCCAGTGAGCCCCTGGCCTCAAAAGAAAAAAGCAGGGAAGGGCTGGAGAAGAAAAAACAATTCAGAAACAAAATTTTCATTATCAACAAGAGGCAGCCAAGCCATGTGACCTAGAAAGAGTTTGGACCTGAGATATAAGCTCCCCTTCTGTTCCTCCAGATCCACCAAGCTATGAATCTGAGGAGGACACAGAGAGGGCCGCTCCACAGGATGGACAGCAAGAACCTGAGGATGGGCTCAGCGCCTATGGCTCAAACGGCTAAGGCGCCAGCCACATACACCTAAGGTGGCAGGTTCGAATCCCCAGCCTGGGCCCGCCAAACAACAATGATGGCTGCAACCAAAAATATGGCCGGGCGTTGTGGCGGGTGCCTGTAGTCCCAGCTACTTGGGAGGCGGAGGCAGGAGACTCGCTTGAGCCTAGGAGTTGGAGGTTGCTGTGAGCTGTGATGCCATGACACTCTACCCAGGGGGATAGCTTGAGGCTCTGTCTCAAAAAAAAAAAAAAAAAGAACCTGAGGATGGCAAAGGAGGCAAGGTACAGTATTAACAGCCAGTGTTTACTGGGCCCTGACTACCAATGGCACCAGCTAAAGAAGGACAGTGCCACTCAAGCCACCCCCACTCACTTGCCTTCCTTGCACACACCACACACACTGCATTTCCAAGCTGAGTCTTTGCACAGCCATGCTCTTAGACCCTAACCTCCTTTCTCTGGTTCTCTCCCCAGCCTTTAAGGCTCAGGTCCTGTGTTTCCTACGCCTTCCCTAGGCCCTCTCCCTGGCCCTCTCCCCCCTAAAATTCATTCTCTTCTGAGCCCTCCAGCAATCATTGCTTCAGTCTTCCCCCACTAGACTGAGTTCTCTGGGGAAGCGCAGAGTCAGTCACATTTTCTCCTACAGTACCATGTCCAAGCCTGGCACAGGTGGACACAAAGGCCTTCTCGGCTCTCTCACACCTCTCCACCCCCACTCCCTCTCCCCTAGCTCGGCCTGTGGTGTCGCTACAGTTCTCCCTAAGCGAACCAGAGGTACTGTCAACAGGGCAAAGTCTAGGGACAAAGCAAAGGGTGCTTAGAGAATGCATGGCTGGTGATGGCAATGGCAGGGGCGGGCAGGGAACAGGCGGAGAGCCCAGGTGGGGACTGGTTATCAGCACCTGGAGGCGGGGACTGCAATGGAGATTAAGAAGCTAAGAGCTCCATTCAAAGCTCCAGGACAGAATCCTGAGCTGCAATTCCCAAGGGAAGGAGAGGGGTATTAAAGGAGTCAGGCACGGCAAAGCACCTCCCGTCCGGAGCTAGCTGTGCCTGCGAACCTCGAGGTCACAGAGCTGCGGAGGTCGGTACTACGCGCCGCCGGGCCGGAGCCGGACGATACATGGCTGGAGAGAGATCAGCTCCGCACGGTTCAGGGGGAGATCAGGGACGACTGTTACCTCTGCAGTCGCTGCCGCCCAGCCCGAGCCCCATGCCGCCCAGGATGCTCTCGGACTGGCCGTCGCTGTACATGAAGGCCGTGTCCAACTCGGTGTGGCCGCGTTCCAGGAAAGCGCGCACGGTCACGGCACTGGAGGGCGCATCCATGCGGCGCCCCATCTCCATGGTGCCCAATACAGTGGCAGGCCGCGCGGGGGTCCCCGAGGCGGCCCGCGGCGCCGGCGGCTGGGCCATGGCGAGCGAGCGAGCCACCAGCGGCGGAGAGCTACGCGTACAGCGGATCGCTGCGTGGGCCACTGCGCGAGACGTTCCGCTCAGCATGATGGCGGCGCGTGCGCCCTGGGTCGCCCGGGCCCCGCCCCCGCCGCGGGGAGGAGGGCCGAGCAGGAGGGAGGGTGAACGCCTCCCGGTCTGGCCTGCGGAATGCGCGGCGTGGGAGGCGGAGCCGCGGCTCCCGGGGCGGGGCTACGGTACGCTGTCAGCTGACCCAGACCGGTGAACCCAGAAACCGGGTACCCGCGGCGGATCTCGTCTAGGTGAGCCGGATTGGGGGGGCTAGTGGCAAGCCCCAAAGCTGGTGGTCGGGACTCCGGAGCTTTTCTGGCACGGCTTTCCAGCACCCTCCTGCAGTCCCTAGATCGCCGTGGGCTCCCGTGCCTCACCCCCTTATGCCGCGAGATCCGGGGGT